TGTCTGATTTGCATGTACATGTACTGTATGTTGAACATAGTCCTGTGCTGTAATAATGTATGAAGACCGCTTTTGTTGCGATCGAAACGTCGTGGGGTTTTTTATTTTTAATTTTATTATCTTTTATTTTCTATCTACCTGACTTTACCGAATGAACCAAGAATATGAATAATAATGCATGTGTTTATATTGCACATCTTTCGCACCGTATTTAGCCAACCATGCAAATCGAAAGTGCAGTGGAAGGAAAACACATTTTACACAAAAACCAGTTCTAAAGAAATACGTTTTCAAAAGAGTACGTGGGGATTGTTGGCTATCAGGCATGAGTTTGGTGACTGGGAGCTTGTGACTTGGGGGTGTACACGGGTGGCCCAACGTGGCTCATTTCTCAACTATTTGTGTCGTCTTCGTTGCATTTCCCTTAAATAGGACATTTTAAATCTATATATTTTTAAACCACGTGCTAGCGATTTGCATTTCCTCATGTGGCAACTAGAGACCAGGAGCTTCTGTTTGATGTAAACCTCATATTTTTAACGCTGTACAGTACTGTAGATAATTATGTGTGAACCACGGAGACTATATATCTCATCGCCAACCAAATATGCATCTTCCCGCATTAGAAATTAAACAAATCAATACAAGCAAATGCTCTTAAATTGTTACAAATTTGGCCAAGTATTTTTGAAAGAGACCAGCAGCCCGTACGTCCTTTGGACGTGCCCATCCGTCTGTCCCTCCCTCCCTCTGTCCCTCCCTCCCTCCAGCCAGCCAGCCAGCAAAACCTTTTTTACACGATTTCATTTAACTCACTCTGTTGTTGTCGTTGTTGTATCCTCAAATCTTGTACCTCAATTTTAACCCACTTCCCAATGTGGTATCGACTGCAAACGTGGTATATTTCTGTCATACTGATGACAATACTATATTCTATTATAAAAATAAATATTTTTAAACATTATTTTTTATATGTTATGTTTCGGCTTGGGTCTAATTGTCCACGGTCAACTGACGTTGGCTGTAAGTGATCACGGCCCCCTTACGTTGTGGCAAGCTTCGGGACCACTTCCTGGAGTCGTGGAGTTCTCCCATTACTAGTACATTTCATAAAAGCGTGTTTAAAAAAAAAGTTGTTTTAAATATTACTTATTTTCCTAACGATGCACTCTAAATTAAACGACAATTTGACAACGTATGCCCGGCACTCACGCCCTCTGTGGAGGGAGTTTGACGTCGGCACGCAGGATCCCAGCTCAACCCCGCGCCAGCCAGGCATGCAGGAATCCAGTCGGCAAACGCTAAATGTTCCCACAAAAAAGAAAAGGCAAAAAAAAACTACGCAGGTCCTTCATGCTCGACTCACGGTGGCGAGATATTAAATACCTCGCCTGGTATACAGGAGATCGTGCGTTCGATCCCGACCCCGACGCCTGTAATATTTAGGGTTTGCGTGTTCTCCCCGTGCTCCGGTTTGGCCCTCCACATTTAGAAACATCTATTTATAGTATTTGGCTGCTATACATTTCCACATGACAAGCCACTCTGTTGGGCTGTCATTTGTGGCCAGGTCGCTTCTGAAAAAGAGCGATACAGCTCAGTATGCCTTACCTGGTAACATGAACGAATATTTAATACTTTATGTAAATACTTAGTTTCAGAGTCTGTAATATAAACACCAATTTCAGCTTGCACAAGCCTGCATATGGAGATGTGCAGTCCTTTAATAATTTACACATGTACACCTTATTTACCGATTTATTTTTTGCTATTGAAATAACACGTGGTTTCATAAACCTATAAAATATAATAACACGTACAAACAAACCACAGCATAACACGTACTGTTGAGTTCGTAAAATATGGCATAGGTCCTGTTTTTTTATGTTTTGAGGATATGAAACTACATTGAAAACAAACGTCACATTGCTATGCTTTATTTTCCAATTTAGAATTGGCAGAGCATAAACGCTTTTCCTACACACTTTTTTGTATCGGGCGTTAACATGACGTTATCCTCATGACCAAAGCACCAGCAAAACTCCGAACCTCATCAGGTACGGGAAATCTAAGCAGGACTGATTGAGCCGGGATAGTTTTTGAATTGGCGACTGCCTTGCAGAATAGTAAATGTATTCTTAAAATATATTTCTAATATAATTATTTTTATGTCGAGTGTCTGCTGCTGCTGTGTCCTGTACAGCGCTTTTAGATTCTTGATGAAAAGCGCTGTCCTGTATAAATGGGATTATTATTATAACAGATCGTAGTCATTTGCTACGAGGTTACATTGTGGGCAGCAGAGGGTAGCTGAGTAGCTAAATACATTGGATGTGCTGTGGTCCACTATGCTCCAACATCCTGCATATGCTTCCTCTTTTCATTAACCAGCACTGGTCTAAATAACCCTCACGACCCCCATAGCGTTGGGGGAGGCACTCATCCAGCAGTGGACGGACAAAAGGGCTGTACACTTCCATTACATTACAGTATATTATTGAAAGAATGTACCTTTTGGATCACGCATTGTTTTACCTCCAATTTGTGATCACATTTTGAAGGTATGTTTTTTTTTGACTCATGATTTTTTTTATGTTATCACACATTTGTAACAACAATATAAAAAAAAACCCCTACTCAACGTTTAATGACGCTAACACTATTGTTCGACTGCGGGTCTTATGGAATCACCGAATTTCCACCACTTAAACACAACACGATGCGTCACATGCACGTGGTTAGTCCAGGCTTCTGTTGAGAAACAACATGCCCATCAAAGTATTCGAAAGCAACATTCCATTGTGGGATATTTAAGTTGTATTAGCTGAGAAACTGCCCTTTTCCCCAAAACATAATTCAGCTAAAGTACTTATTAAAAGCACACTGGGTTATATCTCATTTAATGTATTTATTTACAATTATCGGTGGAATTAGTTACGTGTAGTTTATTTATACCTAATATTATATTCGTCAATAGTGTTTCAACGTGTATTTGAAGAATAAGCCGTGTGTAAGGATTATATAAATGTTGACCTTACTGCTGAATGATAGCCTCCAGCTGCCGCTGATGTTTACGGGGGGTTATTGAACATACTTCACCACGCTGGTAAGTGTGGGTTGGTGAAGGCTATAAGGTACAGGAGCATAGCAGTGTGTACGGTACAACTAAGGGTTTTTGCTCCTTACCCAAATATTATTCTGTATACAACGTGGCACAGCAAGTGGAGTGCTCTATAATGTAGACTAATATGCGTATGTACTTGGTGGTTGCACAGTGCATGTTGAAGGATTGTAAACAATCTTACGACTGGACGGGCATGACGATACACGCCTGCTGTGAACCAGCACTCTGGAAGCGGTGGTTGGGTGAATCACGGAGATAAAAAAAACTCCAAAAACCCGCTGGTATTGCAAATCGGTGGCAATAGGGAGATGGTAGCACAGCAAGTGGGACCGTGAAACCCATCTGTTCGGATCAATATTGAGCATTATCCTCTCGTATGGGCGGTTGGATTTTTCTCCGTGTGCTCTGGAATGTTTCCGAACATCATCCCATCGCTGCATAGTTATACCTCCTGAAATATGCAATGAAGGAAAAAGCACGCAAACGCATGGATTCCTCAACGATATCCGACATGCGTTTTGGTCTCGGATGTATTAGTCACTGTGATGACCTTAACGTTTCAAACCGCACAGCGAGTTCAAGTCACGCGATGTGATGTCAAATACTTTCAGCGCAGTATTTTTTTTTATCTTCATTAATATTAATAAGTCTTGACTTAAGGCTTTCGTGACTGCAATAATTCATATTCTTTGGGTCTACCGCTATATTTTTCACCTGATGACGATTGCTTGTGTTGCGATTGAAACGTCGTGATATTGGTATTTTTTTATTAATTATTTGTTATATCTACGTGGCTTTACCGAAAGACCCAAAGAATATAATGTCCAAGTTTTGGAACGTATTGGTCGGTTTTCTCTGGGGGATAGATCGATCATAGCAACACAACTTCTATACGCATCAAAACTACAATCGTTTGCTTGTGTTGCACAATTAATGCTGATGTGCATTTTTTTTTATCTTTACGTAGTGTGGATTTACACATAAGAGAGGGAGGCGTACAGTCTGCTCATGTATTTATTCCGTAATATTCTTCACAACGACGCTCACGATTGTTTTGTTTTAACTTTAAACGACAGTTGCCTTCACATCAGCTCACTTTTGAATGAGTTATCCCAGTAAACGTGCAACGTTGGGCCAACGTTGCCTCAACGTCAGCCAACCTCATGCCAACGTCGCAAGCCCACTGCTGTGTTTTCGCCATGTGGCAACGTTGGTCCAACGTTGAGGCAACATTACAAGTTCACTGCTATGTTTCGTCCCATTAGACAGACCGATCTAATGCTATTGAGGCTATAGGCACGGGTTTAATAACAATTAAACCCTTTACAGCACTGGTGGGGGAGTCAACAACGCGTGACGTTGGGCTGTCCACTGCCTCAACGTTCACCCAACGTTTACCCAACGTTGGGCCTCAACGTTGGCGCAACTTTGGGCCAACTTTACGCCAATATTACAAGTTCCTTCACTATGTTATGCCCTGTTCCAGACTGACGAACCTAAAGCCATTGAGGCGTTGTGCACGAGTTTACCAGGAGTAATACTTATATTATTAAACCCTTTACAGTACTGGTGGGGGAGTCAACAACGCATGACGTTGCGCTGTCCACTGCCTCAACGTTGGGCTCAACGTTGAGGCAACTTTGGGCCAACTTTACGCCAACATTACAAGTTCACTATGTTTTGCCCTGTTCCAGACTGTGACGAACCTAACGCCCCATCGGGGCTTTGTGCACGAGTTTAGCAGTCGTAAGTAGTGCACTTAATATGAATCCCCTGCAGTAACGAAAGCTTTTAATGGAAATTGTGGTTCGTTAGTAATAAGTACAGGTGGGGCGGAGTCAACAACCCGCGGTGACGTCACGCTCTCCGCCGCCGGTGACGTCAGCGCGCAGCCACTTCCCTGAACTCGCGGCTACAAGAAGCGGCGTGGAAGTGCTGGAGGGCACTGCACGGACCGTCCCTCACGTCCATCCGTCTCTCTCTCTCTCGAAGAAGAAGAAACTAACAAACCCCCTGCTACTCCGCGCGGCAGCAGCAGCAGCAGCGGCGGCGGCTCTTCCCTCCCCCCCCCCGCCGCCCAGTAGTTTGTAGGGTAGAAGAAGTCGTCGCCGTCGTTCCGGTGAGTGGTGGCGGACGCCGCTTTGTTCCCCCCCCCCCGCCGCCGCCCGCTCCCCGTGTTGCGTTACGGAGGTTTCGGGCGGGAATTCGCTCGATCGGGGCTCCGACTGGATGGATAGTGGCTTCAAAGGAGCTAAGTGGTGGGTTGGGCTGGCGGCAGAGACGAGTGCGGCAAAAATCAACAGTTGTGTTGTACTTCTATGCGCCCACCCAACACACTCCGCCTTAGCAACAGAGCCGCACTGGCCGGCAAGGTCAAGTGCCGGGAAGTCATCACCTCGCCACGACACGTACGGAGTGGCGAGAAGCCCTCTTATCTGTCGTGGTGGCTAGGCGATGTTAACTACCTCGCCTGGTACGCAGGAGGTCGTGGGTTCGATCTCGACCCTGACGCCTGCTGCTGTATATTTGGAGTTTGATTTTCTCTCATCATCACGGTGGCTAGGAGATGTTTACTACCTCGCCTGGTACACAGGAGGTCGTGGGTTCGATCCCAACCCTGACGCCTGCTGTATATTTGGAGTTTGCGTTTCTCATCATCATCACGGTGGCTAGGAGATGTTACCTACCTCGCCTGGTACACAGGAGGTCGTGGGTTCGATCCCGACCCTAACGCCTTCTGCTGTATATTTGGAGTTCGCGGTGTCTCTCACCCCGTGGTCGCGTGGGGTTTTCTCAAGGTTCTTCCGGGTTGTCCCTCCACATTTAGAAACATTCATCTAGAGTACTGTACTGTAGTTGGCCACTATACATTTCCACGTGACGATGAAGCCACAACTTCGTTGAGTTGTCGTTTGTTGTGACCTGGTCGTCTGTAAAAGAGCTATATACAGAATAGCTCGGTTGGGCCTTTCCTGGTAAAATAAAAACAATAAGATGGTAGGTTTTTCCCCTTTTTTCTGGCAACAAAACAGGTCTTAAGATGTTAAAAATACGAAACTGAAAAACCTTTTACAAGGAATCATGTCTGCATTAACCACAATACTTGTGGTCAGAATGCAAACAAAAAACACTGAATATATGCCTTGTCCTTGAAACTGATTGGTCCACACCAGAGACATGGAAAAAAAACTACTATCATATTTTAGTATTGGCAAAGGTCTCATGATATATAAACAATAGATTATAGTTGTATAGTTCATACATCCCAGCAATGAATTGACAGAAGCGGAGATGCACGGTGGTGGCGTTAGGAGTTGTTACTCGTGGTGCTGATGTGCAATGCTTTGTGATGCGTAATTGTTTAGGCACCGCCCGTGTGTTGTATGGTTACTGTACAGGGTACGATTGCGTTTCGGTGACTTTGAAAGGGAATGGCTGGAGAAAAAAACACATTGATAAGCCACAAAAGGTTCATTGTCAAGAAATTGGTTGGGGGGGGGGGGGGTTAAAAGGAATACTGTCCTGAAGTAAATTTGCCTGACGCATTTCTGGGGAAAAGTTACAATTAAACACAGGGCCGCCGCGGTGGCGAGATGTTAACTACCTCGCCCGGTATACAGGAGGTTGTGGGTTCTGAACCCGACCCTCTGACGCCTGCTGCATATTTGGAGTTTGCATTTCTCATCATCATCACGGTGGCTAGGAGATGTTACCTACCTCGCCTCTCCCCGTGGGCGCGTGGATTTTTCTCCGTTACCTCTGGGGGATTTTCCCTCCACATTTAGAATCGACGTGCTTTTGAGATGATTCGGCTGCTTTACATTTCCACGTGACAAGCCACTGCATTGGGCCATCATTTCTGGTCAGGTCGCTTCTGAAAAAGAGATACTGTATATAGCTCAGTGGGCCTCACCTGGTAAAATCAAATATAACATTGTGTGAATGAAGATGCCTATCTGTGATTGGTCAGCTGATAAAAAAGTGGGTTATCAAGTTTTTCCAGGGCACCCCCTCTTTAATTAGTTTTGTTGTAAAAGCTCTGGCTATTTCCTGAACTATAACCATGGTTTGCAGTTCGCTGGATCATTGTAAAGGTATGTATGTAATACAGTACAGAGTACTGTGCATGGTGTTGTGTGGTAGTACAGCCAAGTAGCACAGTAATGAATAAAAACAATCGATGCACGATACAATATTGCACTGATATATACACACTGCATTAACATCAATAGTTGAACAGCGAAGTAATTAAAATGCCAGAATGTGCGGTATTCACATGTATGTTTCGACATCACAATAGTATAAGTCGTGTACCTGTATACACATCACAGTGCTGTCATACTGTAGTAGGGAACCGTTCCCGATGTTTGGGTTCATCTGAAAAATCCGTATATCGGGCCCTGATCCGAAATATAATTCACTTCCACACTTCCCAGCAAGTGGTGTCTCCTCCTGACTTTGGAAGACGACTAAATTGTTAGGCGATTTGCATTGGCGCGTTCTGTAAATGATCCTAAAATATCCGAAATTGCCTTTGAAAATCCTAAATCTGACAATTTTCAAATTAGAAACTCATCCGTGGCGTACACGGATGAGTTGTTTAGCACAGTTATAGTAATACCACAGTATTATAACGTACAGTATATAAACAATATTTATTGATTCCGTATGGTTTTGGATTTCCACAAGCCTAATGAAGTATTAAATGTAGCATTCACTATACGTAAATATGGCAATTGCACATTGTTCCAATTTTATTGTAATGGATGCCCGAAGTGGTACCCACTCATGTCACTATGTTCTGTCCGGAACACTGAATTTAAGTGTTGTAACTTTCCACTACAGTACAGGGGGGCGCAAAGGCTTTCCCTATTTCTTTCCATTGTTTCCTTTTCTTAGTTTTTGGGTTCTACGAACAACCAATAATCCAGTAATGCATCATTAAATTCATTACACTGGGCTAGAACTGGTTCAACCACATGAGTGCTTACCACTTATGTGGTAGAAATGTGTACATTGCCACTGATGTCTAGACCAGGTATTAGCACGGTTGGCTACGTACGGTGTCAAATCAGTTATACATACATTTTATTTTCTGCAGAGAGGCCTCTTTTGGGCAGGATTAAACTTTGTGCTTACCATAAGTTAAACATGGTAAATAATGAAGTTACAGTCATGTCATTTATGCATGGTGAAAATCTATTCTACATATTATACTTTGTGTAAATATGCTTTTTATATTGGCATTAGATGTTCAACATGGAAACTGCGTTTGATAGATTGTTGACGCACGTAAACGATTTACGGTTGTCTGTGTCGCCAGTGGTGTTAAGTACATTCCACAGTCCTTTAACGTACACTTTTATTATTCCTGGCGGGGGTTTACATATGGACTTTGTGAAAACTGGCTAAGTGGCGGTGTTCATCACTATAACACTACAGCCGGTATGTTCAGTACATGTACATTGCCATCACCTGCAATTTGTAGGTGAGGAATGGGATGCATTTAGATGGCATGATCCTTTTAGAGCTTCTCTGGATGGACGTTCTAAGGCACTTTGCTGTGCAGAGCCAAACTCCGTTATTGGCCAACTCCATAAAAGGTGTGTGGGAGGAAGCCGGGATACACAGGATGATTTATGCTCACAAACAGCAGGATGGCTCGACTCCCAGTATCAATTGCATGCACGTCGTGTGACCCACCACATTGCATGTGGAATGATCTCAGCCTTGTCTAAACCACAAGCTCGGAACAGCTGACAAAGCTAAGAGCATTGTATGTGCAATGTCGTGGTCACATGACGTGCATGCAAGGCATGATGGGAGTCAGGCCTTCCTGCTGTTCGCTCGCAGCACACCTTTGTGTGACGTTATCTTTGTTTCCAGCCTGCATGCCTTTTATTGTTTTGATGCATTATATCATCAGAAAATGTTTTGTCAGTTTGAGAAGTCTGTGATCGATAAACCCTTAACCTCCAAAGTGCTGGATTAAATGTAACCACCACTATTTGACAGTTATATAATTAATCTACGTATTAAAACCCATTTAGTTGTGTTATAAATTTTAAATGGAAATATTAATTGACTATACAGTACTGTAGTTGTATCAGGACGGTTATTTAACAGTGTTTTATTCAGATTAGAAATTGAGACTGATGTGGTGATACACATTGCTCTTCTCTTGGTCATTTTGTGTAAAGTTCCTACACAATATATGGACTTACCACTTAAAATTTATATTGGATTCTTAAAAAAAAGTATCAACCCTGTGTTGATGAAATATAGCAGTATAATTTATTATCAACCTTTGGCCTGTAAGAGCTCTCTAGCCACACCAACTTTACTGGCTTAGTGACTTTAGGATTACACAATGTGTCAAATTATATGGGTTGTTAAATGTCTTGAGGGGAGAGCTCCAAAGCCGAAAGGCGTCTTTAATACGGCATTGTCATAATGGATAAATAATTATCTAACTGTGATGATAAATTGTATCAAATTCCATACACACCTAAGGACCAACGTGATTACGGTATTCATAATCTAATTTTCTAAATTAGATTTTTGGTTTTGTAAAATTATTCCTTTTGATTACTCAGAGGTATTAATATTCTAATTTTCGTGGATATTTCCGTATGTTTAGTGCAAAACTAACCGAGTATAATGTATGCATGTACGTTGAACTTCTTTCACACCGTATGTAGCCAACCGCGCCAAATCGGATGAACACCATCACAAAAGAGGAACTAATGTTTTGTTTTATAACTCGCAGTAACCGACCTTTTGCCATAAGCGCTCGCAGAGAAGTAACGTTCCGTGTTCATATCCTGATACATCCGCAAGTCGTCGTGACCGGAAAACTATCAGTGAATAGTCCTTGGGCCCATTTCACACGTTGACGAAATTACTCAAAAGATGTCAGCCTGGTGATTGTGCCATTGTTATAAAAGAAGACACGAGCACATTTTCACCCCAAATTGTATGGGTATGCATATTTGCCATTACGGTACTACAGTCCAAAGGCCTCGTTTCATTTGGCATAAAATGCATTTATAATGGAACGAAGCTGTAGTGAAATGTTCACGTTTAATCTGTTAGGGTATGTTTTATATAATGTACTAT